TTAGGTTAATGTAGCGTATTTTCGGAAGTATGTAAATTAGTCCGAATTTTTTTAAATATCGAAACCTTATTTTACTCTCTTTTTGCCTGATTGCTGATTAGTTAAATTATTATTTCTTTCTACAAACTACAATTTTAGTCGATACTAGAAGATTTTGAAATTTGTCCATTTTAATTATAAATAAATTTATGTCGAATAAGCAGAGATTTCTTTACCAGGATTTTTCAGATCCAAAAACTCAACTTGTAAACGCTGACAATAATCAAAATGCTTATGACATTTACTGTCCACAACCTTCTTGCAATTGTCTTCTTTTGAGAACAAGTTTTGGAAAGTTTGTTGAGAAACCTAAAGATAAAGTAATCATTTAAATAATAAAATCATTTCATATATTCATAGTAAATATTAAATGGTCTAACTTCCATTATTTCTTTTCTGTTTGTATAATAGACGGTACTGCTTCCTAGCACAGAAAAGCTAGATCAAAATGGTACTACTATTAGCAAAGAAAATATAACTTTGAATAGTACAAATGGTGAATCAACCTCACAATCGATTGTAGAGTACTGGCAATTAACAGATATGATGGCATTTGAAAATATTGGGTTTTCAAAAACTGTCGAGGAAAGTGGATTAAAATATTTATGTTGTGCAGATTGTAATATTGGTCCAATTGGTTATCATGATACAAACGCTCAAGAAAAAGAATTTTTGCTCGTTGTTAATAGAGTTAGTTATGATGTTGGTTCTCTAATTTCTGAAGAAATTGTTTAGGTGACGTTGATTTAAAATTTCATCATACGTTTGATTTTTAATTCATAATTCTCTTAAAGTTTTTTTTTTTAGTTAATGTACTTTTGCTGGGATCTTTAAATATTTTATGTATTTTGTTAAGATCTTTGAACATTTTATGTACTTGTTTAAGATTTTTTAAAATAATTTTTATTTGTAACGGTATTTCTGATATGCCTATTTCCGGATTTAGAGTATCGTAATAACTTGTTAATATTAATATGCTTTTTTTTCTTTTTTTTAATATTGTAATCCCTTTTTTCTCTTAAGATCTTATTTAAAACTATTCCGAAATCTTTCAGATTTAATCTTGGTCGCATAAAACATCCTCAATTCAAAGGTTATTATATAGAAGAATCTATGAACAATTTCTATAAAGGTTAGAGAAAAAAAAAATTTAAATTTACATTTTTTTTTTTTATATCATTACTATATTTAGCAAGTACCTTCAAATTCGTGTTTAAAATTTTCTAATAAAAAGTCTTCAAAAATATAATCGCAGAAATACCGTTCTTGATGGATAGTCGGTACTGTTCCTGGTAGGGTAGGAAAAAAATGTCAATCCTAATAAAAAAGGCCTCTAAAATACTATACTACTATAGCGAAGTAATGAACACCATCAGGAACAGTACTCAGACAGTTTTCTTTTTTTTCTCCATCAAGATCGGTGCTACGGAATAGTATTTTTGCAATATAATCATTTTATTTAAATTTGATATGTATTTAAAAAAGAGGTGCATATCAGCGGATTTGGTTTTTTGAAATTAATAACTATTTATACTAACTGGGTTAGATGTGCTATTAATCTTAAATCTATAAAAAAAAAAACCAAATCTATCAACAGTCACACTGGACACTTGAAGTATACTTACATAAATAAGCGTTCTTACATCAAAATAGAACCATAATTACGCGAATGCAATATTTGAGATATTATCCGAGTTACGTTATGATGTTCATACGTTCACACTGATTAGTCGAAGAATAAAGTGAAAATCATTATATATTCTGATGCATTTATAAAGAGATGACTAATCATGCTACGTGAATCCCTTTGCTTGCACGTTCGTATGCATTAAACTGTTTCCATTAATAACGACAATGATCATATTTAAATGGGCATATTTGTCGCGTCGCTTAAGATCTTGATCAGTTACTCTATGAATCGATCATCCTCAAAGTACCGTAAGCTTGGCTGTATTGACAATGGCACTTGTTTCAGATGTTACTTGAAAAAAAAAAAAAAGAATTGTAAAATCATAATTAATTAATATAATTAACATAATTAATATTAGAGTAAATGATTACTGATTAATCTTGGATTACAACAGTAACAACAAATGCTAATCAAAGAATACTTTAATGAAATGGTTCGATAAGATCTTGGGTCTTAAACTTCTCAAAATCTACAAAAGTAATATACCCCTTTTTTTCTAAAAAAAATAAACAAGTCTTTTTATTGTTCTCTTCAAGATCAATAATTATATCACATCTTTACTATATTGTTTTCTAATTATCTCATAAACACCTCCAACCTTGGTAATTTTCTATATTGGACACGTCGTTTAGCCCGTTTCCATTCTTCCTCATCATTCAACAAGGTCCACACTCCTTTATTATTATACCACATTCTTTCCCACTTCCATCCAAACCTTTGCTTTAAGTAAAATTGAAAGTGACATAATAATCCGTCACTAGGATAAATAACCGCGCGTTTTTGGATAGGAACTATACATGTAATGTATATCTAAATAATACGCGTTAGACATTTGAATGTTATATGGTATCATTGAAAAAAGCCACAAAGATTCCGATTCCTTACTTCTCTCTGTTGAACTGTCGCGACTTCTGATGATTTCAAAGTCGAATTTGGTTGAAGTGTCCCTTTTGAGTTCAATGAATGATCTTCTTCCTTTGAATCATCATTTTTAATACTTCTAGGATTATATGTTGTCCAGTTATTAAACGTAGCCTATTAATATTTAAAAATTTATAAATTATCAAATAAAGATATAAACAATTTGAATGAATATCTTAAAAACTTGGTTAACCTTATTTAATTGACCCGTCTCATTCATTAATTTTTTTATAAACTTTTCTACTTCATATATTTCTCCATATTTTGTGAAAGCTTCAGGTTTAAGATTTAAACAATTCAAATCAGAAAAATGATCGTTTGTAGGATCTTTATATAATCTCACTGCATTGTCCTTGTACGGATATCCTCCAGAGTGATATAGGTACTAATATGTAATATAAAAACGTCGTAAATCTGATCGTTATCAATTAATTAATTAACTGTTAATATTATATCCACATATGTCATTACCGTTCGATCAAAAATTGGATTCAATTTTAAAATAATAGATCTGTCTTTGGCAATTCGGAATTCTTCGATTTCTTTAACATTTATAACAATTTCATCTTTCATATTATGTAAACAAATCGAAATTTCTCGTGTTTTTCCACGTACTAAAAACGCCATATCTCCAGCTCCAGAAGAAAACATACGAATACATGTTCTTTTGTTAAAAGTAATTACTTTCAACTGTATCTTGTATTCTTGGTTGTAATTATGGTTTTTAACGTTAACGTTATTTGAACGAGGCGTAGTAGGTATCAGCTTACTACTACCTTGAGAAGGGGGAAAGTGTGAGAAATAATTAATAATAAATTTCTTAATTAATGTTAGGTCTTAAAAAAATACATTTACTTGCCAGACACCCATTCTATATTATCCTGATCACTTAAACTTTCTTGTGAACTAACTTCCATTTTAATGAAAAAAATAAAGTGTTTTCCAAAATATCAAATATATTTGTAACAATATATAAACAAATACACAAATACTGGCCCTTTTTAAAGTACAACTTCCCCCGTTATGGTAGTTACTCAAACAGGTAAGTCACGGGGCATAAGTTTCCATTTGTAGGGGTCGTCTAAAGCGGAGGCACATCATGTGATCAACAGCCAATCAAATGATAGAATTTTGATGATCGCCAGCG